TTGCGGAGCACAGGCTCCGGACGCGCAGGCTCAGCGGCCATGGCTCACGGGCCCAGCCGCCCCGCGGCATGTGGGATCTTCCCGGACCGGAGCACGAACCCGTGTCTCCTGCATCGGCAGGCGGACTCTCAACCACTGCGCCACCAGGGAAGCCCTCAACAGCTATTCTGACACAATGCTGTCCTTGAAGGACACCTCAGCCTTGTATAATCCTTCCTTAGAACTTTACATGATGCTGTAAACCAAGACCAAGCTCCTCACTCACATTATCAGGGCATTTTGTCTCGTAGCCTTATCAACTAAACGTGCAGTTTGTTGCTTTTTCTTTGCTTACATCTCCCACTTACTCAAATGAGCTGACTTATTTGCCCACTTATCAGATTTTATCTAGATAGTAGAGTTTAGAGGAGAGCTCCATGCCAACCCCCTTAAGGGAGAGCTGCAAGCTATAAAACTTCTCAGCTGTGGTGTGGAATTGGCCCCTCAGCAACAATGTACTCCGCTACTTATATTGCCTGTCACCTTCCCCCTTTTGTTTCAGTGTTTCTCTGTGGCACAAAGGGTATGGGGAGCTGACACTATAGTGATCTTGCTTTTGTTGACTATGTAATACATTGTCTGAATCTATTTGGGTTAATTGGGTTTTTTTCCAGCAGAATCTGTCATGGAGTCTGACATACTGTGTATCAGTAAACGCCTCAAACTCCAGAGTAAGACAACCTGAATGTAAATCCCAACCCTCTCACTTATGAACTGTGTGATCTCGGGCAAGGTGCATAAACTTTGTGTCGTCATTTCTTCATGTTATGTATCATCTAAGTCTCCATGACAGTAAAAGAGCAAGTTGCTGTGTCAAAGTCCATTCAGTGTCATAAAATGAGCTATGCCACTTTTTTCATCAGCCATCACATATTCATTGAATAACTATGCACTAGACTTTACAGAAAATACAGCTTTAAAGACACGGAATCTGTCCCCATGAAACCACTTCGTTGGGAATACTGGAGTAAAGGACATGCACTTAATGAGTAATATGCAAAATAAACCCTCCAAGAGTTCAGAGGAGAGACAGACCACTTTGACCTGGGGCCAGAGTGTGGATAAAATCTAGATATCTTCTCCATTTAATCCCTAATATGTTTTAGCAAAACCATAGTTGTCTTTCCTCACTATTCCAGAAATGCATCAACCATTCTTTAGTTAAATGATTTAGGACACCAACATTATAATGATAAACTCATAACTTACACAGTATGAGCACAAAAAGACCTATTTTTTTGTTCATCTTGTGAAACTTATTTTTGTTCAACTATTTTCTGCTTAGAAAATATTATATGCTCACTAAAGATATTTTAAAATACAGAAAACATTTTAAAAACCATCTATTACTCTGTTATTACCATTAACATTTTGGGATCTTTTCTCCCATTTTTTTCTATGCATTTTTACACTATTGAGCTAACATTGCATAATTTGCTTTTTAAATAACTTTCTTCCTCTTAGTTTAAAATATGTAAAACAGGAAACAAAAGTTCCACATAACTGTACTATCAGTTAACCCCAGATGACATTTTTTTTAAAGTTACACACATGATTAGAAAACTCAAACGGTATAGTAGTGCATCCTTCCACTGCACATATATCAATATATATGCTGTATAATATGCCAAAATATCTTCTAATATGTTTTCAATCATTTGAAATTGCAAACTATGCTGTGTTGAATATTTTTATCACCACATATCACATAAAAATGGCTGGATAAATTTTCACCAAATTTGCAGGACATGTTTAGAATAGTCTGACTCAAAATATAGGCTATTTGAAATACAGGAGCTTCACTTTTTGTGAAACTTCACTTCATAAAAACATGCTTCGAAGCAGCTATAGCAGAGGCCTCTATGACTGCTAATCAGGAAAGCACTGTCATATGCATTAAGATGCCAAGGAGAAAAAATCAAACAGTGCTTAAAGAGAAGCCCCTTTTTGAAAGTCACAGAGGCAGATACTCCAAATTACAAGCACTGCTTTTCTATTGAATTATTTCTCAAATAGATACCTCGATGTTATGTGATCCAGAGTAACAACAGGGATAGTATTCATATTATGATCATTGATAATTAACTTGAGCAGTTCAGAAGAGGCCAGCTGAAAAATAATTGCCCATTGCCTGAAGATAATGACAGCATGAAAAAGTGATGCAAAGCTGAATAGAGGTTACTAACTCCAAAGGATTAATGCAGGAAACAGAAGAAAACTTTAGGAAAAAAATCCTTAGTGATATTCAAGAAAATTTTGTGTCCATAAAAGAGTAGAACAAGCTACTGTGATAAAAGCAAACAGTTTATGAACATTATAAATATAATTGCCGGATTAAAAAAGAAAATATTGCCTCAAAATAAGGCCTAATAGCAGAAGGGACATAGCAGGAAATCAAATTAGATGTCTGGAAGATTCCATTAAAGCATTCTTTTAGAATATTTGGGGAGGGGTGGAAGGAGAGATAGGAAAGCTAAGAAAGAAAAGTTGTGAGGTATGGAGAATAGATATAGGTGAGTCAAAAGTCTTTCTAATAGAATTTCCAAATGGTGAAGGAGAGAAAGGAGAGATGGGAAAACATAATTTATGGAGTAACAGAAGATACACCTCCCCGAGCTGAAGACTATTGTTTTGAAGCAAAATACTGAAAAATAGCACACTATGGTATGTTGCTTGCAAGAATGACCACAATTTTCCCCCTCATTGTATCCGTGCCCCTTTGCAGTGTGACTTTGAAGTTCCTCCCATCAAGGAGCACCTTGAATCTGACTTGGCCTTGTTGCTTGCCCTAGATATCCCACATTCCACTAATAGAATGTGGTGGAAGTAACATTGTGTTAGTTCCAAGCTGTATCTCAAGAGGCCTCGTGTGCTTCTATGCTTGCTTGGGACCAACCCTCTGATTACTATGCGAACAAGCCCAGGCTACTCTCCTGACAGGTAAGAAGTGATGTGGAGCAGACACAAGCCATCACAGCTGAAGCCTTCCTAGCACCCAGCTGACCTACCAGATTCTCACAGACACATGAGTGATCCCAGCTGAGACCAGAAGAACTGCCCAGCTGAGCTCAGGACAAATTGCCAACCCACAGACTTGAAAGAGCCAAAGGAACTACCTATGCAGATACCTGGTGGAACAGTATTTTAGGCAAATGGATCAGTGTGTACAAAGGCCCTGGGGTGAGAGCATGCCTGCCATTTCTCAGACAAAGCAAGGAGGTCAGTTTGGCTGGAGTGGAGTAAGTGATGGAGGGAGGGGTAGGAGATGAAATGAAAAGAGGAGTATGGTAAAATTGTAAAAACAGCCACATATTATTCCCCTTTCTGTATCTTCACCCTTGCAGTATGATATCACAGATCCTTCCCTCAAGAAGTAGACTCTGTATTTCCACTCCTTGTATCTGGGTTGGCCATGTGGCTTGCTTTGGCCAATGGGATATTAGCAAATATAATACAAGCAGAGGTTTGAAAAGCATTTGCATACAAAGGCTTGCTCTCTCGATGTTCCTGAAGCCCCTGACTGCCATGCAAGAAAATCCAGGCTATTCACCTGGATTATGACACTCAGTCACTCTTGTCATCCGAGACAACACCTAGTCAGCCCCCAGACATGTGAGACCATTCACTACACCTGCAGATGCATGAGTGATTCCGGCAGAGATCAGAAAAGTTGCCCGGCTGAGCCCAGCCCAAATTGCCAAACCACAGAATCGTGAGCTCAATAAATAATTTAAGCCACAAAATGTTGAAGTGTTTTGTTATACAACAAAAGTTAATTGATGCACATACTTTAAATTATGAGAATAATGTGAAAATCATGGAAGATTTCAGAGAGAGGGAATAAAAGTTTAGCTGTAATAGCTGGCATTGAATTCTTTATCCATAATATGGAATAATATTAGACATTATGATAATGTTTATAGAGTTCTGAAAGGAAAGGATTTTGAACTTAAAATACCATTGCAAAGAAATAGGCTTTGGGGATACCAGAAAGCTATCATCACCTAGGGGCAGAGGCAATTTTCTTTTTTTTTCTTATTAACATATTCTGCAATTAAAAATTGTCTGCATTTAAGGTATATAATTTGATTATTTGATATGCATATACATTGTGAAATAATCACTCTAATAAAGCTGATTAACATTTCCATCACTTCAGATAGTTACCACTTTCTTTTTTCTTTCATTTGTGTGAATGTGTATAAGAATAAAGATCTACCTTCTTAGAAGAGTCCAAGTATACAGTAAAATATTGTTAATCATAGTCACATTGTTGTACATTATCCTCAGAATTTATTCATCTTGCATAACTGAATCTTTGCAGCCCTTGACCAAAGTTTCTCCATTTCTCCCTCCTCCAGCCCCTGGTAACCACCATTCTACTTTCTGCTTCTATGAGTTCAACTATTGGGCTGGCCAAAAAGTTCATTCCGGTTTTTCCGTAACATCTTACCGGAACGAACTTTTTGGCCAACTCAATATTTTAGATTCCACATGTAATTGAGTATTCATCTTTATCTGGCTTATTTCACTTAGCATAATGTCTTCCGTATTCATCCAAGTTGTTGCAAATAGCAGGATTTCCTTCTTTTTAAAGTATGAATAATATTCCATTGTGTGCTATACAGGCATACTTGGAAGATATTTCGGGTTTGGCTTCAGCCCATCACAATAAAGTGAATATTGCAATAAAGCAAGTCACATGAAATTTTTAGTTTCCCAATGTATATAAAAGTTATGTTAACACTATAAACTATTACATGTGCAATAGCATTGTCTTAGAAAACAATGTACATACCTTAATTTAAAAATACTTTATTGCTAAAAAATGCTAACCATCATCTGAGCCTTCAGCAAATCATGATATTTTTGCCAGTAGAGGGTCTCACCTTGATGTTGGTGGCTGCTGACCAATCAGGGTGATGGTTGCCAAAGGCTGGGGTGGCCGTGGCACTTTCTTAAAATAAGACAACAATGAAGTTTGCTGTATTGATTGACACTTCCTCTCACAGTTTCTCTGTAGCATGCAATGCTGTCTGATAGCATTTTACACACAGTAGAACGTCTTTCAAAATTGGAGTCAGTCCTCTTAAGTCCTGTCACTGCTTTATCAACTAAGTTGATGTCATATTCTAAATCCTGTGTTGCCATTTCAACAATCTTCACAGCTTCCTCACTAGGAGTAGTTCCACCTCAAGAAACCACTTGCTTTGCTCATCCTTAAGAAGCAACTCCTCATCCCTTAAAGTTTTATCATGAGATTGCAGCAATCCCATCACATCTTCAGCCTCCGCTTCTAATTCTAATAGTTCTCTTGCTATTTCCACCACAAATGCAGTTACTGTCTCCACTGAACTCTTGAACCCCACAGAGTCATCCATGAGGGTTGGAATCAACTTCCAAACTCCTGTGAACGTTGATATTTTGACCCATTCACATGAATCACGAATGTTCTTAATGGCATCTAGAATGGTGAATCCTTTCCAAAAGGTTTTCAATTTACTTTGCCCAGATCCATCAGAGGAATCACTATGTATGGGCAGCTATAGCCTTACAACATGTATTTCTTTTATATTTTTTTGAATTTTATTTTATTTTATTTTATTTATTTATTTATTTATTTATTTATTTGCGGTATGCAGGCCTCTCACTGCTGTGGCCTCTCCCGTTGCGGAGCACAGGCTCCGGACGTGCAGGCTCAGCGGCCATGGCTCACGGGCCCAGCTGCTCCGCGGCATGTGGGATCCTCCCAGACCGCGGCACGAACCCGCGTCCCCTGCATCAGCAGGCAGACTCTCAACCACTGCGCCACCAGGGAAGCCCTTTATTTTTTATACAGCAGATTCTTATTAGTCATCAATTTAATACACATCAGTGTATACATGTCAATCCCAATCGCCCAATTCATCACACCACCACCCCCAAAAATGTATTTCTTAAATCGTAAGACCTGAAGGTCAAAACTTATCCTTGAGCCATAGGCTGCAGAATGGATGCTGTTAGCTGACATGAAAACAACATGAATCTCATTGTACATCTCCATTAGAACTCTTGGGTGACCAGGTTCTTGTCAGCGAGAAGTAATATTTTGAAAGGAATCTTTTATTCTCATCAATAGGTCTCAACAGGTGAGCTTAAAATATTCAGTAAATCATGTTGTAAACAGATGTGATGTCATCCAGGCTTTGTTGTTCCATTTATAGAGTACAAGCAGAGTAGATTTAGCATAATTCTTAAGGGCCCTAGGATTTTCAGAATGATGATTGAGCACTCGCTTCAACCGAAAATCACAAGCTACATCAAACAAGAGAGTCAGCCTTGTCCTTTGAAGCTTTGAAGCCAGGCATTGACATCTCCTATCTAGCTATGAAAGTCCTAGATGGCATCTTCTTCTAATAGAAGGCTGTTTCATCTATTGTTTCGTGTAGCCACCTTCATTAATTACCTTAGCTAGATTTTCTGGATAACTTGCTGCAGCTTCTACATCAGAAAATGCTGCTTCACTTTGCACTTTTAAGTTATGGAGACGGCTGTTTTCCTTAAGCCTCATGAACCAACCTCTGCTAGCTTCAAACTTTTCCTCTGCAGCTTCCTCACCTCTCTCAGCCTTCATAGAATTGAAGAGTTAGGGCCTTACTCTGGATTAGGTAAGGTTATGGCTGGTTTGATCTTCTATCCAGATCCCTCAAACTTTCTCCATATCAGCAATGAGTCTGTTTTGCTTTCTTATCATTTGTGTGTTCACTGGAGTAGTGCTTTTAATTTCCTTCAAGAACTTTTCTTTTGCATTCACAACTTGGCTACCTGTTTGGTGCAAGAGGCCTAGCTTTTGGCCTATCTCAGCTTTCAACGTGCCTTCCTCACTAAGCTTAATTATTTCTAGCTTTTGATTTAAAATGAGAGACTTGTGACTCTTCCTTTCACTTGAACACTTAGAGGTCATTGTAGGAATATTAATTGGCATAATTTCAATATTGTGTCTCAGGGAATAGGGAGGCCTGAGAAGAGGAAAGAGATGGTGGAAACAGCTGTTCAGTGGAAGAGTCAACACACACACATTTATTGATTAAATTCACTATCTTATTTGGGCACAGTTTGTGACACCCCAAAACAATGACAATAGTAACATCAAAAGTCACTGATCACGGATCACCATAACAAATATAATAATAATGAAAAAGTTTGAAATATTGCAAGAGTTACCAAAATGTGACACAGAGACATGAAGTGAACAAATGCTGTTGGGAAAATGGCACTGATAGATTTGCTTGATGCAGGGTTGTCACAAACCTTCAATCTGTAAAAAAGCACAATATCTGTGAAGCGCAATAAAGTGAAGCAGAATAAAACAAGGTATGCCCGTTACTACACACACACACACACACCACACTACATTTTCTTTATCCATTTGTTCATCCGTGGACACTTAGGTTGTTTCCATATCTTGATTATTGTGAATGATGCTGAAATGAATGTGGGAGTGTAGATATCCTTTTGAGATCCTGATTCCATTTCCTTTGGATATATACCCAGAAGTGGGATTGCTAGGTCATATGGTAGTGCTATTTTTAATTTTTTGAGAAAACTCCATGCTGTAGTGGCTACATCATTTTGCATTTCAACCAACAGTATACAAGGGTTCCTTTTTCTCCACATCCTCACCAACACTTGTTGTCTTTTGTCTTTCAGTAATAGCCACTCTAACAAGAGTGAAATGTTATTCCATTATGGATTTGATTTCCCTGATGATTAGTGGTGCTGAGAAACTTTTCATGTACTTGTGGGCCATTTGTATGTCTTCTTTTGAGAAATATCTATTCACGTCTTTGCTCATTTTTCATTGAGTTATTTGCTGTTTTGTTTTTGCTGTTGAGTTGTATGTGTTTCTTATACATTTTAGATATTAACCCCTTATCAAATACATGATTTACAAATATTTTCTCCCATTCCATAGGTTGCCTTTTCACTCCATTGATTGCTTTGTTTGCTGTGCAGAAGCTTTTTAGTTTAATATAATCCCATTCATTGATTTTTGCTTTTGTTGCCAATGCTTTTCCTGTCATATACAAAATATCCTTCCCCAGACCAATGTCAAGGAACTTTTCTGATCCTTTTCTTCCAGGAGTTTTATGGTTTCGGGTCTTACATTTAAATCTTTAATCCTTTTAGAGTTGATCTTTGTATATCGTATGAGATACTAATATGTATTCTTCTGCTCTAAATGGAAAGTTCTGTATATATCAGTTAGGCTCATTTGGTCTAGAGTTCAAGTCAGCTGTTTCTTTATTGATTTTCTGTCTGTATTTTCTATCCATTATTGTAAATGGAGGTATTGAAGTCTTTTGCTTTTATTTATTGCTCTCAATTTCTGCCTTCAAATCTGTCAGTATTTGCTTTATATATTTAAGTGTTCTGATGTTGGGTGCATATACATTTATAACTGTTATATCTTCCTGTTGAATCACCCTTTTAATCATTATGTAAAGACTTTCTCTGTTTCTAGAGATAGTTTTTGACTTAAAGTCAATTTTGCATGATATAAATTTAGCCACCCCTGCTTTCTTATGGTTACCATTTGCATGAAATATCTTTTTCCACCCCTTCACTCTCAGCTTATGTATTTAATTCTAAAGTGAGTCTCTTATAGGTAGCATATGACTAGATCATGTTTACTTATCCATTCATCCATTCTATACCTTTTGTTTGGTAAGTTTAATCTGTTTACATTGAAGGTAATTATTGATAAGTGAGAACTTACTGTTGCAATTTTTTTAATTGTTTTATGTTTATCTTGCAGTTGTTTTGTTCCTCTCTTTCAGCTTCTTTATTGTACTTCTTTTTTGTACTCTGGAGCTCTCCTAGAGGTATTCTTATTGGCATGAAGTTCACTGTTTTTGTTGTTTTTGTGGGAGGGATGAGTGTTGGGACCTCCTAGTTTGCCGTCTTGCAACAGGACAGAGACAATTTTCAGTAACTCATCAGGACAGGGACATAAAGGCAGAGACAATTTTCAATAGCTCAGGGATTCTATTTGAATATATTCTCTGAAATGGAAACATCCATTCATGAGGACTTTACCCTCATAACCTAATCATATCCCAAAGGCCCCATCTCCAAATACCTGCACCTTGGGGATTAGGTTTCATCATATGAGTTTGGAGGGGGACACAAACATTCAGTTGATAACACCCTGTAACTTGATTTGGCCAATAGAATGTGGCAGAGGGATGATGTGCCAGTTCCATCTCTAGGCATCAAAAGGCTTGGTCCTTTTAAATCCTCTCTTGGATCCCTGCCACGTCTTGAGAACAAGACTGCTGAAGAACAAGAAAATGTGGAACAAACCCCAGTTGTCCCAGCTGAGGTCATCCTAGGGCAGCATAAGGCTAGTGACCCCCAAATATGTAAGAGCACAGTGAAGAGCTCATCCACAGCTGATGGCCACCATTAACACACTCCCTATATCCATACCTGCTGCAATGTGACTTTGCAGTTCTTCCCATTAAAAGGTGGAGTTTATTTCCCCACACCTTGAATCTGGGATCCATTGCAACTTCCTTTGGCCAGCTGAATGTGGAAGAAGTGATAATGTGCCAGTTCCATCTATAGGCCTCAAGAGGACTTGCACACTTCTATTCTCCTTCTTGGAAGTTTGCCATGCTGTGAGAACATACTTGGGCTAGTCTGATGGAGAAGGAAAGGCCATGTAAATGGGAAACATTATTCTAAGAAATTCCCAAATATGAGAGAGAACCCAGCCAAGATCAGCAGAGCTGCTTCCTAGCTTACCCATAACTGACTGAAGACACATAAGTGAGTCTAGCATAGATAAGAAGGCATGCCCAGCTAACTCATAGGCTCATGATAATAGAAGATTATCAACTTAAGCCACTGTATTTTGAAGTGGTTTTTTATACCACAATAAGTAAGCAATACAGGCCCTATCAGCAAAGTAACCCAGAGAAGAGTGACTTTGTATATCTTTTCTGTAGTGATCAAGTTACCACTGAACTCAAAATTGGGCTTACTGAAATGAGACATCTTAATCCATGTTGATCTTTGCACTAAAACTTTAAATAGCTATTTTGTCCTTGTTTTAATAAGAAACCATGTAAAGAATGTCACTACTTGGATTAGTGGGAATCAGCGGAGGGTGAGAAAAAGGAGGGTAAGTAAATGTGACTTGGACATAAAATTGCAATTGAAGTTTGCTATCTTAATTTTCTGGCATTTTATGTTTTGGTGCTTATAGTAAACAAACAGAATTGTGAATTATACAGGCATACAGAAATAAGCCCACTTGAACTTTCTGGATAAAATTTAAGTTTGATGATTTTTTATATTGGCTACATTTTCTGATATTCTTACTTGTTATTTGCAAAGATGCACTGGTACAGTACTGAGATAATAAATATCTGTATTTATCTAAAAGCCTTTAAGAAACTGGAGCTCAATATTAAAGCTGCCTGCAACAACAGAAAAACACTAGTTCCCATAAAAATAAAGCATTAATGATAACTTTTAGACAACTGCTTGATAATCTATTTGAGCTAGTCATGTCCCACACTTCTGGATTCCTTTGGTGGGGATGGAGATTTTTCTTTTCAGATCACTGGGGTTTGAAGACTATTGATGGAGATTGTCTGGAGCTACACAAATTGTGGCCTTTTCTTTATTTTTAACATCTTTATTGGAGTATAATTGCTTTACAGTGGTGTGTTACTTTCTGCTGTATAACAAAGTGAATCAGCTATACGTATACATATATCCACGTACCTCTTCCCTCTTGCATCTCCCTCTCACCCTCCCTATCCCACCCCTGTAGATGGTCACAAAGCACGGAGCTGATCTCCCTGTGCTATGCGGCTACTTCCCACTACCTATCCATTTGACATTTGGTAGTGTATATATGTCCATACCACTCTCTCACTTCGTCCCAGCTTACCCTTCCCCCCCCCATGTACTCAAGTCCATTCTCTACATCTGCGTCTTTATTCCTGTCCTGCCCCTAGGTTCTTCAGAACCTTTTTTTTTTTTTAGATCCCATATATATGTGTTAGCATACAGTATTTGTTTTTCTCTTTCTGACTTACTTCACTCTGTATGACAGTCTCTAGGTCCATCCACCTCACTACAAATAATTCAATTTCGTTTCTTTTTATGGCTGAGTAATATTCCATTGTATACATGTGAATTGTGGCCTTTTCAAAGAAATATAAGGCTTCCAGTGCTGTCATTTGAACTCGTAGTTTTATAACACCTATCATGGTATAATAAAGCCAGTAGAAAAGGAAAAAAAAATTAGTGGCTTAAAAACACAACTGAAAAATTGGATGAATAAGCCCTCATTAAACCAGATAAAAAGAAACAGTGGCTTAAAAGCAATAACATGAACTTGGGTGTTATTTTGGAAAAAAAGTAATTTTTTTTTCTTTGTGGTACACAGGCCTCTCACTGCTGTGGCCTCTCCGGTTGCGGAGCACAGGCTCCGGACGCGCAGGCTCAGCGGCCATGGCTCACGGGCCCAGCCGCTCCGCGGCATGTGGGATC